AGCTACATAGATATGTAACCTGACACAGACATAGATAACAGACACACACAAATAAACAATCTCATTAACAACTTAATAATAAAAAGCCCATATTACCACTGCCAGGATAGGTGCACACAGACAAATCCTTTACACAATAACAATTTACATGGAACTCAAATTCACACTTAGTACAACCACCTCACTCACTTAAATATAACTACAGATCAAAAACTCTAATAAAAACCTGAATTTGAAAGTAAATAAACCAATGGGATGGTGTTTATACGCTTGAAATGTAATTAATGAAATGCAAGTTAATAATTACAATTAAACAAAAAATAACTACGAACAAATGTGAAGCCTGAGGCCTAGGTATATGCCAGGCCTGATGGCCAGGCATCGCTTCAGTCCTCGCCGCAGTAACAGCGACATCAAAGACAGCACAAAGCGAGGGGGCAAATGTTTAATGTCGAACAGAGGGCTCTGCTGTTTCCGGTGACGCACCCCACCCGCACTGCACCACGTGGTGCGCCCGCCAAGCGCGTGGGGGCGGAGCCTCGCTGTAGTGACGTCACCTCTGTTACGTCATAGCCACGCCTCCACCCGCAGTCGAGAGGAATGCGCACGAGTGAGCAGCAGAAGAAGCCTTTGCAGAGCGAATCCTCAACGAGGTGAGCGTCCCTGTTGACGATGTGTGTTGTTTATTTTTATTGCACGTTTTGACTACAAACTAAAGCTTCATTATTTTTGAATATGTTGATATTGGGATTTTCTGTAACCAAATTATGACTATTAGTTTACTTGGCATGCTCTGATATGTTGCTGTTACTGTCATTGTTTAGACCCAAAGCAAGTTAACATTTAAAACGTTCATAACTAACCTGTTTAAATCTCATATAATATGATTAACATGTCTATAATGATTGTGTTCTGATTGCCTGCATAATTGTGCCCTGCATTACATGTATTGAATGCTATCCAACACGGGGGAGGAGTCTCCCTTTTAGTTCAGACCCGAGCTGCTGCCATAGACGTCTCTTATCTGTGATGTCACAGCCACATGGGTGGTATCTCTGACATCAAGTGACCTACGACGTCATTCTCGGGTTATAACAAATAATTTAAGTATTGTCATTTGACCCCAATGACCTACAAGACATAGGGGGGCCTTTATCAAGCAGTTGATTAATACAAATGGGCTGTGCATCAACATGCTTGTCTGGATTAGAGGTTAAACATCACGGTTATATCTGGCGATTATGTTTAATGCAATGGGCAGTTGGAATAAACATGTTCGCGTGGGTGCATGAGTGAGTGATCTGACGCACGCGTGAGTGGGCAAACAAGCGAGTGAGTGGACTTGTAAAACAAACGGCACGAAAGTGATTTGATTGGTACAGCGAGTGGTCAAATATGTAATAATTGAGAGGATGAGTGATTCAAAAGGTTGCTAAATCTGAGCGTTTTTACAACCTCCCCAGGCCCTCCAACATCAAACAGAAACTACTCCTTCCCAACAACATGGATAGACAACGCAAGTGGGCTGACATCTTGGAGGACTATGATGGTAAGTCCCAGTTACCTGCATCACGTGGCTTTTTGCAGAGGAGGCAGCTCCCTGATTAATTATTTTTAGTGGACGTGGCTTGGTGGTGATGGGAAGAGGTAAACAGTCAAGGGTGGCAGACAGCATGGATTTAGAACTGCGTTTCAGCCATATTGGTTTAAATTGGGGTCTCAACTTTATGAAATTGATCTCAACATGCTTACAAAAATTTGACTTGTAATGTTTTACTGCCATGTGACTAATGTTTCTCAACAGCAGGTCATGTTTTGTGTTAAGAGGTAATTACAAGAATCTCAGAATTAGTTGTGTGAATCTCCACGTGCTTCGTTCTCTAAGACATTACTCGTCCTTTGAATTAATTTTGTTTTCCGTAGCCCGGGAGTCATGGCGCCAGTCGACCACGTGGGGAGACATTATGGATGAAGTGGACCCTTTCCCAGGCCAAAGCTATGAAAATCGTTCCCCAAAGGTGTGTATGGGGTCTATGGGAGTCAAACACCACATTCTCTCCACACTCCCACACCATTGCACCAAAACATCACTACACCTCACATCACCACACAATATCTTTACATCACCACCAACTCGATATAATATACTCTTAGTTTTTTCGGTAAAGTCACGTACGTGACTCTTTCTTAGGTTTTTTCGGTAAAGTCGCATACGTGAGTATGAATGCTTGCAGTCACGAAAGATTCAATTCGAGAATCAATACAATAGCATAGAGCCTCATAAAGCGCCAATACCATCACAAGGCACCGTCTCTCCAGAACATTCCACAATTTCACCTCTCCGTATCACAACACCATCTCCCAACACCATCACTCCATCTCTCCATAATCACGTCATGCCATGAGTTAATGTGCATGTTTGCATCCTTACATAGATGTGCCAGTATGCATTTTTGTTTGTCTATGTGCCCGTCTATGTTTGTGTGCCTGCGAGAATAGATTTTGTCCTGAGTGCGCATGTCTGAATGATCATGTGCTTATCTTCGCGTGAACAGAGGAGCATTGGGGAGGTGAAGAACGTCAGCGGAGTGAAGCGTTTCCAGGAGGACAAGCGCCTTGCGAAGGAGAAATGCACAATGGAAGAGAAGCGCCCCAATGAGGTGAAGCGCCTCGCCAAGGTGAAGCACCAAACGGAGCAGAAGTGCCTTCGAAATAATATCCTCAAAGACGTGAAACGGGTCATGGAAAAGCGCCTCCTTGAAGAAACGCGCTTCATGGAGGAGAAGCGCCTTCGCGAGGTGAAGCGTCTCAAGGAGAAGCATCTGGAGGAAGAGAAGCGCCTCATAGATGTGAAGCGGGTCGAGGAAGAGAAGCGCCTCATGGAGGAGAAGCAGGTGGAAGAAGAGAAGCGCCTTGTCGAGGAGCAGCACCTCATTGAGGTGCAGCGGGTCGAGGAAGAGAAGCACCTCATGGAGGAGAATCGCCTCTTTGAGGTGAAGCGTCTCATAGAGCTGAAGCGTCTCGAGAAGAAAAATAAGCGACTTGAGGAGAGGCGCTTTCGCAAGGTGAAGCTCCTCGAGGAGAAACGTCTCATTCAGGAGAAGCGCCTCGTTGAGGTGAAGCGTCAAGAGGAGGAGGAGCACTTGATGGAGGAGAAGCGTCTTGTGGAGCAAAAGCGCCTCGAGGAAGAGCAGCGCCTCACCAAGATCGAGCGACAATGGCTCCAGACCGCTACCACCAGCAGCAGCACCACTACCACTGACACCACCTCCACCACCGCCGCCATCGCCGCCGCCACGTCCTCCAATCCTGTGTGGGGCCCAATAGCTCCGAGCTTTGAAGAAGAGGGCTTCCAAGAAGATAAAGCAAACTCCGGAGTCGCTGAGCCACGGTAAACCACTCCGCGTGTGCGCCCTGTGTGTTTATTTTTGTTATTTATTGCCATGCTTCTCACGCAGCATCAGCCTTACACGGTCTCAAGACTTTTTTTCAGGAGGATCCTGCCAAGTTTGCTCGCATTTTTCAAGAAAGTTGCTACTGTTTGCGATCCAAATTGAACAATTTGCATTGCTTGTGTGGGTTTAGTAACAGGGAGAAAGCTGCAGAACATTCCCAGAACAGGTGGCTGCACAATCCACACGGAGAATGTGGCCAAACGTGGAAATCAAACCCAGGTCAATGTTGCTGTGACGCACAGGTGCTCAAGCCCTGTCGCGCTCTCAATATTCACAGACACTGCAAACTCCACGTGTACATTCCGCTATACTGTGGACAGACTTATTTTTCATAACTGGTTTCTGGGTTAGACCACATAACGAAGTGGGTATATCTTCACCATGTAACCCTCCATCCACCGTGAGATTTTCGCTGTCTATCGCCTGTTTCCAGGCCAGCTGCCAAGTCACCTTGTAATGCACAGCGACAGCTACCACTGAGAGGGGTGTCCAATTTAAAACGCGATGAGATGAGAGATGCGAGAGGCTCATCGCATGCAATGCACTCTGAGATGCCTTCGACGTCAAGGGAGGTGGCTCTCTCGACCACAAATCACTGACGGACACTTTTTTTAAATCGTGGATGTGTAGGTATGAAATAAAATAAATTAAATTAAATCACGACGTTTCGATGGCCATGTCGTTATTGCAAGAACGTTTCTTGCTGTGGTTTTCCCACCTGATGATTGCTTGTGTTACAATCGAAACGTTGTGATTTAATTTATTTTATTTTATACCTACATGACTTTACCGAAAGAACCAAAAAAATGTCACTTCAAATTATTCAGCTAAATTTGCACAGCAACGCCACCCACTACTGTGAAACTACAGCAGTCTGTGTGAGACACAGCTGCACCTATCTCAAGGATAGCCTGGCGCCATGAGAATGACAGCACCAATACTAAGCACACTCACTGGCCATGTCGTTATTGCTGTTTCTATTCAGCTCGAATTAATCCGCCACACATTCCACCCACGGACGATGGGGAGATGGCGATGTCTGCCGTAGCAGCAAGGTGGAACGGTGTCGTGTTTGACAGACAACCATCAGTTTTACCATGTCTAGTGGTGGTCTCCCTGTTACAGGTTGAGTCACAAACCGCACCTCTCCATAACAAAGGCTCAGCCTTTGATGTGCAGTCTATTCTTAGTCTTAAGCCTCACCTTACCATATTAATAAAAGTATGCGGCCCTTGCCCCACCACCTTCTCCAACCATTATATAAACGAAGTGGTAGCTTCTGAAATCTCTCATTTACCTGATACAGCTGTCGTGGCTGTGACGGTTCCACCTGAAGACGGAAGCTTGTGTTGCCTCCGAAACGTCGTGATTTTTATTTTTTACGTTATTTTATTTTACTTTTTAATGTTTTTTTACCTACGTGACTTTACCGAAAAAACCTAAGAATATGAATCATTGCAGTCACGAAAGCTTCAAATCTAGAACGGTGTCGTGTTGTCTCTTCACAGATCTGAGCCAGCTCAGCCCTCCTCCTCACTCGTCCAGGCCTTTGAAGTGAAGACAGAGGTTGTGGAGAAGAAGACGAAGGAAGAGGTGAAGGAGTTGGAGGATGAAGTAGAGACGGAGGAAGAGAAGGCAAAGGAGGACGAGATTGTGATGGTGACAATGGAGGAGAACACGGAGGGAGAGGAGAAAGACAATACGGAGATGGAGGACAAGGAGACAACAAAGGATGAACAGATGGTCGTGGTGGAGGACATGGAGACGACGGACAAAGGGGAAACGATGGTGGTGGAGGAGGAAGAGAAGACGGTGGTGGAGATGGTGGTGCCGGAAGTTGAGGAGGAGATGAAGGAGGAAGAGATGGTGCTAGCGGAGGAGAAGAAGATGGAGAAGATGGAGGTGGCGCAGGAAGAGGAGGAGGAGGTAGAGGAGAAGATGGTGGTGGGGGATGAAGAAGAGGGGATGGAGGAGGATGAGACGGAGGAGAAGACGGAAGAGGTGCAGGTGGAGATGCACGGAAAGAAGAGGAAGCGAGAGGGTCTCGCTCGCGTGGCGAGAGCGATCGCCTCACTCCTCCGCCGCGTGCTGCTTTGTGGTGGCAGGTCCACCGCCCAGTAGGGGTGGTGGCGGTGGTCGTGCATCGGTGCCGACCGTGACCACTATCACCACACTACCAGTCCACCCCGTGATACTCGCTACACACACCACACGGTTCCCCAGAGAGACGGTGCAACGTTCAGGTCCAGAATACCGAAGTATACCGGGAATCACCTGTACTTAAAAACACGTAAATTGATAACACTATAAACAATAACACTAAACATTAAACGACAAAAAAAGCTACCAACTGGTTTTATAATTTATACCACCATAAACGGAGGTACGGTATTTTAATTTCATTAGAAGTATTATAATGGAACTCTACACATGTTTGTTAATTGTCCGTTCAATCGAACCGACGGTCGGATATGTGAACTGTGGGGGTCGAGGGTAAGAATGGCATTCAAATTTTAGAATGACAATTTGGTCGTTTTAGCAAATTACTGTACTTGAATGTATGTTATGCGCAAATGCAAATTGTTAGTCGTAAATGCGAGGGAGTGGTTAAGAGGTGCACGTTTAATCCAGTGTTAACATTTATTTTAGCATCATATTTAAGGACACTGTTGTTGATAAGAATTCGTCTGGACATGTTATGTGCCTTGTTCTACTCGATCAACCAAAATTAGTACAATGTCGGTCATACAGGAGTGTGATTTCATTCATGAGTAGTATTCACAGAGCCCCGATGACACTAACCTACCTAAAGTTATGGTTAAAAAAGTAATCTTGAGTGACTTAATTCTCAGCTCAGACATGATCACCGCAATCATTTCCAAAGACGTGTGGGGTCCTGCGAGAGCAGGTCCCGACTACAAACAGCTGGGCAGCAGAATCGGAAGTAGCTGCGTTGCCCTCGAAATGTGATGTTGCTGCTGTTGTTGCTGCTGTAGTTGCTTCTGTTGCTGTAATAAACGCAGGGAGGTGGTGTTCCGTGATGGGATGACGCCTTTGATTAAAGCCTTTGATCAAACTCACCCGATTGACGCCCTTGATCGTCGCATTTGATCAACTCTGATATTGTATACTCTCACATCTTAAGCTCTATCATAGTGAAACATAATATTATAACCTATGAACTACAATCTATCCATTGTAACGCTGTAAAAGAATATTACCTATTGGGTTTCACTCCGTCGTCGAGAAGGCCGCTCTCTTCCTTTTCTAAAGTTAAATGTAATTTCTCTGCATTCACTTTAAATCGAGGACAAAGTTTTTCCATTCATTCAAAATAAGCGCACAATTACACACTGAGATGCACTTACATATTCATATATGAAGCACAATGGGCACATTACTCTTCGGTATGTTAATAGACATGCGGATTGTGCCTTCCAAAATTAACAATCGAATGAAATATCCTGAAAGACAAAGGATTTGATCCTAGGGGGGGAGTTATAAGGCGGCTCAGAAGCAGAGCTCAATGCCATTTCGAGAGGGAACTTGATGAGGTTGGACGCTCGACTCGTCGCTCTGCTGATCGCCCTTCAACCGCGAGACAACGCAGCCTGGCGAGCACAATTGCTGTGTCGACAGTTAGGCGACTTTGCGTCGGGAGAGTTCGTGGCGACATCTTCAGACGGGTTACAGACATCGATATACAGTGAATCTCCAAGTAAGTGTCTAATTTCGCGGATGAACTCTTAAACGTTTTCGTCGTTAAATTAGCGGGATTTTTTTGCGTCTCGGTTAGACGCGAGTGTCGTTCTTGTTTTAGCAGTTAACAAAATCCAAAACTCAACGCTAAACATCCTTGCGGCCTATAGCGTACTTTTGACTCAATAACACAGCTGCTGTTACTACGCTCACATGGAGCAGAGACGCTCTCCACAGCCCCACGCACACGGAGGCAAGAAGCCATTCAATTGCTCTGTGTGTGGGAAGGCATTTTCACGGCCATCACATCTTCAGAGACACAGGAGAACACACACGGGCGAGAAGCCGTTCATGTGCTCTGTGTGTGGGAAGACATTTGCACGGTCATCAACTCTTCAAGATCATAAGAAAACAAACACGGGTGAGAAGCCATTCCTGTGCCCTGTGTGTGGGAAGACATTTGCTAAGTCATCACATCTTCAGAGTCAACAGAGACACACGGACGAGAAGCCATTTCTGTGCCCTGTGTGTGGGAAGGCATTCGCACAGTCATCAAAACGGAAGAGGCATCAGAAGGTCCACGATGATAGGAAGTTGAAATCAAAAGGTGTAATTCAAGGTGCTGCAATGATTCCTGTAGATAATTCCACCTTCGATCCCATGCAGTTGGATCCCGAGAGATGGCTGGATGTAATGGAGTGGCTCGAGGATCAACCCGAGAGCTAGCGGTGACTGAAATATAATGTTGCATGCGGTTATACCTATTAAGCTGTCTTGAGTACTTTTGTGTGTAATTCTGACTCTTTAGTTTTACAGTTCGTTTGAGAGTTTCTTGACGTGCACGTGGTGAGTTTTGATGTTGTCGGATTACTTGGTGAAGTGGTGTGATGAGCAGTGGTTGTAAACGTTTTTTTCAAGTATTAAGCTTTTTTTGGTTGATAATAGTCGACTTTAGGATGTACATTGATGACGCGTTCGTTGGATATATTGCCTTGACTTCAACATAGACGCACAGTGAACAAATGTGGTGAACTAATAAGGACATCATGGGGAATGATACTTTAACGCTTTGGTATTCCTGGAACGGATATGATTTGCATTGTACTGTAACTGTTTGAACATAGGACGTAATAAACATTGCCTTCGAGTTTTGACGTAAAATTGTTGCAGATGAATAAAAACGTATTTTAACAAATGTTTGTCAGTTCTTTATTGTATAATGTTCCTAGCAAAAACATGTTCAGAGAATTTCAGGTGGAGGATCTCCATCACACAAGTGTGCCCTTAACCCGCAGCATCTTAGCTGTCTACACGATTAACAGGTGTTCATTGAGGGGAAAGGTCCCCGTAGTTAATCGTTCATCAACGTACCAGTCTCTAATTCCGAAGTATGTCGGGGAAAAACTGTACTCTATGACATGTAAACTGTAATCCTATGAACGATAACACTGAACATTAAACGATTATAAACTAGTGTTTTAATTTATAACCATTTAAACGGAGGTAAGGTATATACTATCATTAGAAGCATTAGAATCACAGTGTGGTCGTATAAGAATCACGCACAAACCCATTATAAACTCATGAGATTATGAATCTTTACAATTATTATAACAATCACAAATTGTGACAAAGCGAAATTCCCACAAGTAAAACACCACGCTCACGTGACGAATTCTTAAACAAACTGCTACACTCAAGTGACAGAACTTAACAAAAAAACGCCGCAATAAAAAAAACATCAATGGACAAATCGTAAAAACAGACAACACACGCACGTTAGTACCTGTTAGAAGAAGACAACACCTAGCACCTTCAACTATACACATCATACAGCCAACTCGTAAATGGGGCGGTATATGACAGCCCTCGCTGCTGTCGACGGGGCCAAGCAGCGAGTGTTTAACTCCATTGTTTCAGAATCCGTGTCATCACACGGCCACAGCGCCTTACCCAAACTACATCTCTCCAACAAGGCAGCCTTCCCTATGCTGTGTATTTTAGCAGTTTATTTACGGACACACTTGAAGATAACAATTCGTCTAGAAAAGGCAGGCGACTTGTTCTACCAACATGATTTCAATTTATATCCGAAAGAAGTATGAGTTCATTTATGAGTAGTATTCACTAAGCACCGATGGCACTAACCTACACACAGCTATGATTAAACAAAGTAAACATTAGTCGCTCATCCCAGCTCAGACATGATCATAGCAATTATTTCCAAATTCGTGTCGGGTCCCACGAGAATAGGGCACGTTCACAAACTTTCAAATTGTAAACTCACATTGCATACTCTAACATTATAAACTCTAACAATATAACCTTTAAACTATGAGCTATACATTGTAACGCTTTAAAATAACACTACAAACTAGTGTTCTAGTAAACTATAATGTTTTGAACTATAACAATATAAGCTATGAGCTATACACTATAACGCTATAAAATAACAATAAACTAGTGTTACAGATTAGAACACCGAACATTGAAGTGTGATATTCGAATTCTTAGCTTCACACCGTGGTCCTATAAGAATCACACTATGCTCGTGAGTATGTAACATGTCTGTATGTAATATGCATGAATGTAATATGTCTGTATGTAACATGTATGCATGTAACATGTATGTATGTAACATGTTACATACATGCATGTGACATGCATGCATGTAACATGTATGTATGTAATATGGACGTGCGAACCAAGGGTGGGATATGTGAAACGGAAGGTGCAGGATCAGGATGGGATTAAAATTGTTTGAATAACACTTTTGTGGTATTAGGATCAAGCTGTCCACTGCTGGGTGAATGTTCTATCTCAATGGCATCAAATAGCAATATTCAGTATGTAAATATAGAATTATCTTACAAACCCAACATAAGCCCGTGCAATTATGATTCGTTACAATTGTAACGACTCGTTTGATAAGAGTA